TTCTGTTGCTGCCGTACCAAGTCTGCGCCCTCAGCGTGAGGTCGTGCAGCGCGTAGTACGTGCTCTACTGCTGAGAGGCACGTCCCGTTCATTTTTCTTTCTTGTGAAACAAGGGCTTGGTAAACTGCCAGGATAGCCTAGAACTTGTGTTCCTCCTGATTCAGCCTCCAAATTAATGGGATTACAGACGCATATTCCATTCCAAACTAGATTCTTTCTCCTCCCCCTCCTTCTTTTTGAGGCAGAGTCACACTAGGGAGATTGCCCAGGCTGGTCTCAAACGCCCACTGAGTAATTCTCCTACCTCAGCCTCTGGAATGATGGTATTACAAATATGCGCCCCCCCCCCCACACACCAGGAAAAATATGAAAAATTATGAAGAAAGAGTTCCAGTGTTTTTGGAAACTCTTGTAACCAGACATTTAATAAACATGCTAAACTATGACTGACAATCAGATTATAAACCTTCAAAGAAAATGATCCTCTGGTGTGGTGGTGCATGTCTTCAATTCCAGCCCTTGGAAGGCAGAGGCAGGAGGATCTTTATAAGTACAGGTAAAACCAAAGATAGATACATAGTGAGAAAAAAGAAAGAAGAAAGAAGGAAGACAGAAAAAAAAGAAGGAAGGAAGGAAGGAGAGAGGGAGAGAGAGGGGGAGAGAGAGAGAGAGAGAGAGAGAGAGAGAGAGAGAGAGAGAGAGACCAGTGCACACTCCACATCCTACAACTGGCAAAGGCAAACCCTTGCTAGGAAGAGGAATGGTGTTATTTGGGATTTTTTCCAGCTGATAAAGTATCTGCAGCAATATACAGAGCTCTCTTTGGAAAGAGCTGGGAAGATGGACATCGAATCTTAGGCAAGCCTAGTGTGCTGGCTCCCATCTGCTAAACCAAGCATTGCACAAAAGAGTCACATTCCAAGAGAAGTGTGTTTGTTCTGGCTTAAACATAATCATTTCCTCAGGAAAGCCCGATTCAGATAAAGCCCATTAGGAAACTCACAATCTCCTGGTTTGCAGGAAATGGAACGTCTCTATTTATTTTGAATCCTAAGAAAATGCGTTAAACATTTCTGCCGCTGCCAGTTTGAGCGTGCTTTTCGGCTATTCGACTAGAAGGCCTGTTTACAGTTCCTGGCCCTGACCTTGAATAGGCCACACCTCTATTGGGTGCATTTTAATCAGGCTTATTTTCACTCATTTATTTACAATGTGGCTTTGGATGTTTTTATTTATTGACTTCTTTCTAGAATGCAAAGTCACAGCATCTTCATTCGCGTGTCATCGCACTTCTTGTTCACCCATCTCCCCGCTCTCCTCCCCCAGTCCGCCTTCCTCTGAACACGTTTTTTCGGGGCACTAAGAGAAGGGAGCAGGAGATTAGGGGTCCAGACTTTAAGTTCTGGTCCCAACCCAGTCCCTTCTGAGCTGTCACTTTTGACAATGTCTTTGCGTCTTAGTGCTGGAACGCGGGAACAGTGGCCACTCGGTGGGCTGGAAGATGATGGGCGTTGATCCATACCTAAAGCGTGAGGGCCTGGTACGCACTCAGCACTCAAGAAACAGCAGCCCTTGTTAGTCGTTCTTGCTTTCCTGGTGCAATGTATGCTTCCCGGGGCTTAATTAAGCAGTCCAGTAGATTAAAAGGGCTGCCGAGGGGGTCAGCGGGCCAGCACTTTTTACACAATCAGAATGAGATGGAAGAGTCTAACTGACATTCACCTATTCATGGAAGACAGAGTCTTGCTAGGCAGCCTAGGCTGGTCTCCAGCTCTGGGTCCTCCTGAGTACTGGGATCGCTGGTGTGTATCACCAGGCCCAGTCCTCTCTGTCAAACACATGTCCCTACAGATCTTAGTCCTGTTACTGCTGAGAATGATAGGGCTGGGACAATCCCTTTAATTAAAACAGTTATATAATTTCCCCCACTTCTCTTTCGCCTTTCAATCCTTTCCATGTATCCCCACCTTGCCCTCTCTCAAACTCATGGCTTCTATTTAATTGTTACGTTTATATTTATGCCTAACATAGTGGTATTTTATTTATGTTTTAATAAATAAAGTTTGTCTAAAGACCAGAAGGTAAAACTCAGCCACTAGAAGTCAGGCAATGGTGTCACAAACCTTTAATCCCAGGATTTGGGAGACAGAGGCAGATGGGTCTCTGTGAGTTCAAGGGCATACTTATTCTCTGCATTTTGATTGGTTGTGGGTTCCCCGGTCGTCCCCCCCCCCCCCCACAGGGTTTCTCTGTGGTTTTGGAGCCTGTCCTGGAACTAGCTCTTGTAGACCAGGCTGGTCTCGAACTCACAGAGATCCGCCCACCTCTGCCTCCCAAGTGCTGGGATTTAAAGGCGTGCGCCACCACCGCCAGGCCATCAAGGAGAAGTTTCCTTGACGAGACCTTATCTGTGAGTATAAAGATAAATATTTGGAATGCAGTTAGGGATGGTGCTGGTTTAGTGAAGTGGTGGGTTTACATTCTCTCCAGGTCCAGGGCCTCACTGGTTTCTAGTGCCAGTCAGGATTTCCATCTTGTCTTAAGTCCGGTTTAAAAGTTGTTGGTTCCTGCCAATGTATGTGTGTCACTCATGCGTCCTTAGGGATACTGTGGCATGTTGAGTTGTGGTAAGGTTCAGAGCTGGGTAGGACTACTGGTTGCTTCCCTCTCTTGGAAGCTTACATGGCATCTCCCGGTACCATCTGCACAGTTCAACGCAACCAACCTAGTGAAGAGGAAGCTTATGGAATGGGAGAGGATCTCTGCCAGCCATACATCTGACATAGTCTCAATATCCAGAACATACAAAGAACTAAAAAAAGCGAGAGTCCAAAAAAAAAAAAAAAAAAAAACAAACGAAAACCAAAATGAATGAAATACAAAGACAAATGAGGGGCTGAAGAGATAGCTCAGTGGTTAAGAACACTTGCTGCTCTTTCAGAGGACCTGAATTCAGTTCCTAGCAACCACATTAGGGGACTCACAAAGACCTCTATAGTTCTAGCTCCAGGGTATCTGACACCCACTTCTAGCCTCCATAGCCACCTATACATGTGGTATACCTGCACAGACACACAGACAGACACATACACACAAGTAAAACAATTAAAATAAATCTTAAAATAACAAAAATAAGAACAAACCATTGGGAAAAATGGGCTTAGGATCTGAACAGAGTTCTCAAAACAAGGAAAATATGGCTAAGAAATATTTCAAAACGTGTTCACTGTCCTTAGCAACTAGAGAAATGTCAAATCAATTTCATCTTCCTCTAGTCAGAACGGGGAAAATCAATGAGACAACAGAGAGCAAATGCTGGGGAGGATGTGGGGCGGGGCGGGGTTGGAACTGGTAGAGCCACTCTGGAATCAGCGTGGGGAGTCCCAAAGCAGCTAAAATTAAACCCCAGCTACACCCCTCCTCAGCATCCGCCAAGGGACTTGACGTGCGACCCCACAGATACAGCACTGCTTGCTGCGGCTCTATCCCCTATAGCTAGGTAACGGAACAATATAGATCTCCTTCAGCTGAGGAACGGATGATGAAAATGTGGTACTTATCACTGTGCAATACTACTTAGCTGTAAAGAAGAAAACAAAGCCTGAAGGTCAATGGATGGAAATTGAAAAGATTGTATTAATCAAGAAAGACAAACGTTTGGTCTCTCATTGGAGGCTCCTAGTTCCAAATCTTCAGATGTAAGTGTGCAACCTGGAGTAACTGCAGAAATCAGGGAAGTAAAAGGGGACCATGGTGGGGGAGGGAAACAGGAGAGAAAGAGAGAGAAAGGGTGGGGAATGACGGGGCACAAGGAATTTGAGGGAGGAAAAGGGAAAAATGGAGGACTTGAAGTAGGGAATGGGCAAAGATAAACACAGATGAGCGTAAAATGATAGACGTGTCTGAAAGTCATATCTTCCTACCGAAAATTACAGGTCTGTGTATACATATCATATACATACAGAGTTCAAGTGAGTAATTTCCATCTGGCTGATAACTCTCCTCACAAGAGCCATAAACTAACAAAAGTCCCAACACCGGGCATAAGAAGGCTCTTTTGAATCATTAGTTAGGATTGTCCAAGAGCTTCCCAAAACATTATAGGCTGTTGCTACTCCCCTTCGCTGCCCCCAGAAGCTGAAGGTAAGTCCCTGTTGCTGAAGACACCATGAACTGTGGAGACAGAGCCTAGAGGATGAAGTCCCCGGGCAAGTAGCACCCTGCGGTGAGTTCAGCAGAGTGCTCAGGATGTGGTGGCTTCCCATGTGACACCTGAGGCCCTCCTAGGGATGCAGCTAAGCTTACATTACGGCATTACCTACAGTTGCCCTGGGGAGTGTGGTCCTGGGGCATTCCACACCATTCAGAAACTCACGACAAATGAAGACATCCATATCCAGCACTGTCACGCCAAGTACATAGGAGGGTGCGCTGGCTTCGCTTCACAACCAGATGCTGCTGTTGGCTTTGCTTACAGAAACTGCTGCTCGGTTGGCGCGATTCTCTGCTTTTCTACTTTAATTACCACCCCAAAGACACGTTTCCGTTGAAACAATTATAAAAACCATTCAGAAGCAGGAGTGAGAAGAAGATCTGTACCTTAGGAACCCCTTATGCACTGGAAGAAATACAGACTGGACATGCTGAGGATTATCAAAGTTTTATTTTAAACTTTAGAGCACTTGAAAATAAAGAGTATAATGTACTTGTGTTTTAGTTCGTAACTTGAAAAATGCATTCAATTAAATTAGCCATCAGGTGTTACCCTAAACGCAGCGTGCTGGTCAGTGAGCCCTGAATTGCGTTCTAAGCTCACTCTCGGGAGGCTGGGGTGGAGGTAGGCTGCTGGCATCCCTGTGGGCAGGGGGGCTTGTTCCTACTCAGAGTGGCGTTTTTTCTTCTTGTTGTGGCTCTCGATTGCCCTTCTCAGGGCTTCATCTGGGATGAGATCCGACATTCTCATGTCTATGTGACTACAGCCAATTTTGGGGCAGCTGTGAGGGAGAAAGCAAACTGTCAGTCCATCTCTGTCCCAGGCCTTGAGCGCTAACTTCATAGTTAGCTGAAACGAGACCAGTTTATGAAAGAACCGGAACAAAGACAAACCAAACCCCTCGACACTCAGAGGCATGCAAACGCCCTATTAAAGGGCGGCTTGGTTTGGAGCTGGGGATGCAAGCGGATGTGTGAGCAGCACCTACAACTAGGAGCTTGCTTTGTCACAGGAGGCAGGCAGTCACCAAGTACCATGCCACAACAGCAGAGAAGCAATGCAGGGTGGAGGGAACACGGGGTCGGAGAGGCTGGGAAGGAAGGGTGGAAACAGGCCGCCTGTGGCCTGGGCTGCCTAGAAGGCTTAGACAGGTGCTCTGCAGTGAGAGCGAAGGAATTTGGAAGTGAGATCAGGGGCAAGGGGACACTTTGGATTATTATTTTATTTTGTTATTATTTTCCTTTTTGTTTTGACTTAGAGTCTCACATAGCCCAGGCTGTCCTTGAACTTCCTCCATAGAGGGGAATGAATTTCCCATTGCTTCCATCTCCCAGGTGCTAGGATTGCAGGCGTGTACCACCAAGACCTGGCTATATGCTGTGCTGGGGGTCAAACCCGGGCTTTACGCATGGCAGGCAAATGCTCTACCAACTAAGCTGCATCATCCTTAGCCCTGGGTCTCATTTTAACTATGAAAAGAACACCCCCCAACCCCCGCTGGAGCTTTCTCAGATAGCGCTGGGGGTGTGATGCTACTTCACAGAGGACAGAGGGATGAATGAAGCAGAGAAAACTCCTGGGTGTCCCAGAGGTGCAGCAAGGGTTGCATGCCCTGGCAGAGACAGACTCTAGCACACACGAGGATGAGGGACCTGCAGAACCTATGGATGGAAGTCAAGACGGATAAAGAAAGGGAAGACAGATAGATGGGCGACTGCAGGGCCCTGTTGTGTGGTGGGAAGGAATGGGCCAGGAGTCCTGCCTGGACTATGTCCCTCTGAATGCCACTTGGCCTCTCAGTGGGGACACTGAGTGGGGCGTGGGGGACTGGCCAGGAGCCTGAGGTGGGGAATTAAGAATGTGAGTCACCAGAAAAGGGTGGGGCTCAAGGGCCAGCTCGGCCTTAGCCAGGGCAGTATTTGGACTGAGTCACCTGATCTTTTTACTATGAACAAGATTTGAGCAGGGCTGGGCTCCCCGTGTTTGGAATCAAGCTCATGTACGTCCTGAATTCTCTCAATCAGCTGCTGGTTGGTAGCCCAGATAAACTTTCTGAGCTTGGGTCCCCATTCCACATGGCCACAGCCCCCTGAGGTACTCCATACCTTCCCCCACTTTGCCATCTCTCGGGAAGTTATCTGGTCCGTCTGTACTCACAGAGACCCAGTGCACACACGCACCATTCACCCATTCAGGGGACTTCTGTGTGATCAGTGCAGGGCCACCTAACCCAAAGTACAAACATGGCTCTGGCCCACCACACAAAGCTTGGCCCCAGGACCTGAGATGGCTCTAAACAGCCAGCAAACACAGGAGAAACGTAAAAGGCAGAGGGAAGAAAAGCTGACCTGAGAGCTACAATTCCTCAGATCATAGGAAAGAAAAGGTTTTCTTGGTCTTGATATTGGAATTAAGGAGCCTTCAAAGCACATTGGTGCAATGGATGGTAAGCTGAAGGACAGGAATTAATTTTGAAATGCTGAACGTGCCCTGTACATTCAGGCATGTGAGTTTTTTGTTGTTGTTGTTGTTTTGATAGGGTCTTGCTGTGTAGCCCTAGCTGCCCACCCCAGCTTGTCCCTTGTGCTCTGAAATCTCAACGTATGAGATGATGCAGACACACACACACACACAACACTCGTTTTAGAACCGGGAACTGTCACCCCCTAGGCTTCCCTGATGTGGAAATGCAGAACAGGCATTTTGGAGGTAAACTTCCCTGATGGGCAAAGCCCTGAGCTCTGTTTGTGACTACCAGGCCTTGGGAGCACGGACTCCTGAGAACAAGGTCTATCTCCATCTGCCAGACAGTGAGTAAGCCCTGGGGAGGGAAGTGGAGGGGGGGGGAGGACTTCCTGATGACATCAGTGGCTTTAGTCAGTAAATGAGGGCATTCTGAGAATGGCTGATGGAAGGAACCACACCACTTGGCTGCAGAGGAGGCGCCCACACTTATGTGGATGGGCTGGAGCTCAGTGAGATCTGTGTCACGCAGAGACAGGCTCTGGGGACAGAGACACAAACCAAGCAGTCCCTCCAAGGGCGGCTAGGGGACCTGACGGCAAAGGCACAACTTGAAGATGGAAGAGCTGAGAGAGAGGGATCGAGTGTGCTAGACCAGACTGAACCGCACAGAAAGTTCTAGGCTGGCCTGGGCTACACAGTGAGGCATCTCCAGAAAAGTGGCAAAGCCTGGCAGTCAGCTCCCCTGGTACTGACACTGTTCAAATTACTACACAAGGTTTTTCCTGCAGACAGAGGGAAGCAGAGTTGCTTGTCTCTCTGAAGACACCCTGGCACAGTGAGAATCAAGTGGGCCCTTTATGCCAAAGCAAAGGGTTATGTCCCAGGCCTTACCACACAGCCGCTGCTATGCTAAACCATAGCTACCAGTCCCATCTCCTCAAAACAAGATGGCTCAGCGAGTGACAGGGTGCAAACCACTCAACAGCATGAATGTATCTCTGGGGAGACTTCCTGGAGGTGAGGCCAGCACAGGAACAAGGGGACAGCCTCATCTCCCACCCCACCCCACAGAAACAAACAAGTTTTTTAAACTAAAAAGGCCAAGAAAAGGCCATGATGCCACGGGCCTGAATCAGGGCACTCCTGCTCTGAGAAACAACACAACCCAAGCATTAGGCCGTAATCCCCAGGACATCCTGGTGAGCAAGTCAGGTGTGGCAGCATCAGCTCCCGTATCATCTCCTTGAAGGGCTCAGACCCACAGGCCTGGAAGGAGAGGCTGATCCCGAGCCTGGGTCAACCACAGGGCAGCGCATTCCTTAACAGCGTGGGGCACACTTCAGTGTCTACTAAGGAAAGGCCTCAGGGTGCAGAGGGCCCCAAGGTGCTGTGGGAATCTGGCCCCCAGTCTCAGCTTATGATCACACCACATGAGTCGCAAGGGGCTCAGATCTGGGTCCTAAGAACGCTAGGGTCTGATCCCTAAGCTCCAGGAAGTGGGTGTACAGATACCTCTGGCAGCAAGAGCTGGGCGGATTCCTGTCATACCTACACACAGGAGCAACTGTCCCATGCCCTCGAGTCCAGGGTGGTGTGTCCCAGAGCAGCGAGAGAAGTGAGATGACTGGCAGCCGTATGTGCCCCACAGCTGTTTGCTCACGCTGTCCACCAGCAGGCTTCCCGTCAGGTGTATATGCCGCTGTGCGCGTGTGTGCACGTGTGCATGCAGTGGAGGTCAGAGGACATCCTCAGCCGTCCTCGGGTACGAGCACATTTATTTATTTTTGAGACAGGGTCCTTCATGGCCTAGAGCTTGCTAAGTATACACTAGGCTGGCCGGCCACTGTGCCCCGGGCTGCCTGTTTCTACCCCTCCCCGCAGTGCTGGGATAATACATGCCCGGTCAAACTTGGCACTTTGAATGTGAGTTTTGCCGATGAGCTTGAGCCTGAAGGAGCTGGCTCCCTGTCTTCTCCACAGCCCAGAGATGTGTTAGGACAGATCTGGAAGGAATTCCCTGTCAGCTCTCGAGTCCCAGGAATTTTGAGCTGATGACGTTATTTCCACTCGAGAGATAAAGAATCTGCTTGAGAGGCCCAGTGACTGGCTGCTAAGGGAATTCTGCTTTGACATCACACACTTCTGCTCACTTCACATTGCCTGACATACTTTGAATGACTGCTGAGGATCCGGCTCAGTACGAGAAAACCAAAACAAACATCTGGGGTCAAAATCAGCCACAGCTTATTACCATGAAAATCAGCAGGCAGCTTTACTTGTGAGATAATAGCTTTATGATTAAGAGGAATATTTTAGGAAACAAATCTAACAATATACTTAGGGTGAAAAGCTCCACAAGAATATTCCGCCTCAAGTCAGTGGCGAGCTCTCCAGGGACTGAAGCATGCTGGGAAAGTTCAGATGGTACCCAGTAACACAGTGTGCCCGGGACTCCAGTAACGTAACATAATTGGAACAGGAGAAAGAGTTCTCCAACAGGATATGTCGCAGACATTTCTTAAATACCGCTTCATGGGAAATGGCAACACTGCGTGCTGAATCAGAAACCTATGGGAGCAAGCTGTGTACAGACGCCACGTGTGCCCCGCATTTGACACTGGTTCCTGGGACTGTAGCACCTCTCAACTTGGGTGTGGTTTAGGCTGCTTCCCACAGGGGCTTCTACCTCTGGCGCTGTAACTGATGAACAAGAAACTGTTTGGAGCTGACTGCAGGATCTAAGCCGGGTGCTGAGGGGCCATGGTGAGACCTCTTTCCAGGCCAGGGCTCTGTCTAGCTTGCCTCTCCAGAGCTGTGTCGCAAACAGTGACAGTTGCCCCGCCTTTATACTCAGAGCCACATAACTGTTATGGCCACCTCAGTCACCTTCTCAGGACAGAGCTCACATGCCTGTGCCTCTGATTTGTTTAAGTAGCTGTACCGCTGTGATCTCAGACTTGGATGGCCTGAACTTGGCCCCTAAGAAGTCCTTCTAGACAGTTTCTTTCTTCTCTATCTCTCTAGACCAGCGGCAGCTAGCAGCTGAGTCTGGACACTCAACAGAAACGGCAACCATCACCCCCTCTTTCTGCTCCCCCACTTTCAGTCCGCTGCCACATTCGTCAGGGGCGCTGCACACCCCAGGTATGTGCTCCTCCTCTGTGAGAGAGCCCGTGAAGGGGCAGCAGCACAGGCCTGTCCCCTGCACTGCTTCTGGGGTAACTTCCTCAACTCCAGGATGGCTCCTCTTAATGCCCCCCCCCCTTTTTTTTAACAAGGTCTCCTGTGCCTATGGGGTAAGGCTGGCAGGCGCTAGTGAATGCTAGCCAAAGCTTGGAGACGATGATTAAGGGGCACGGTTACCGAGCCTCACTGTGTGTGTGCTTGGTGCTTTAGCTACTTTACAAATATCTTATTCAAGTTTCAAATGCACCGATGAGAAAGCTACACTGACTACTGTCCATTTACAGAGGAGGAAAACAATGAAGCTGACGTTCTTGGCCTCTGTCATAGATCTCCGGCCTATCTGCTGCTCTATCATCTATGGACTCACTCCATTTCCCCGCCACCAACAGTAACCACCATCACATGAACTGCCCACCTAGGGAAAGCTGGCCAGATGCGGTGAGGCTCTTGTTAAGGACCTAGCTTTTGATGGGTGTGGAGGCATATGCCTTTAATCCAAGTGCTCAATCGGCAGGGGCAGGTGGATTGCTGGGAGTTCAAGGCCAGTGTGGACTACACAGTGAGTTCTAGGACAGCCAGGGCTACATAGGGAGACTGTCTCAAAAACTAAAACCAAACCAAACCAGAAACAAAAAAGGAGAATCAAACAAAAACCCAAACAAGACAGTTAAAAATTATTTTGCTATTTTCTATGTCTATAAGGTTTGCCTGCAGGTATGTCTGTTGCACCATGGCCATGCTGGTACAAAAGCCAGAAGAGGATGTGGGACCACTGAGAGCTAGAGCTTCAGGTGGGTGTGAGAACTGAACTCGGGTCCTGTGGAAGAGCGGCTAGTGCTTTAACTGCGGGGCCATCTCTCTGCTGCGCATGCACATCCACGCTGCGCCACACAGCGTCATCGTAGCTTTGGTTCTGAACACTTGAGTGCACTCTGCCGTGATTCCTGTCACACCACACAGCGCCAAGGAAAACCTCAGCTCAGATTCGAGACAACTGTGTCTTACAAATTGCTGTGTTTTTTTCTTTTCTGTACATGTTTTCTGCTCTTATAGAAACAACGATTTAACAGCAGAAAAGACAGTATTTTCCTACGACTATTCCACAGACTGGAGTAGATCACTGTATCTTTGCATTGTAATGTAGTAGAATGTTTGATTTTACAAACTGTGGTGAGTTACTGAATTAGATTTCATAAAAAATTGTAAAATGAATTTTGGCTTGGAATTAGAACAAAATTTCCAACAGTTTCTAAAATGGCTGTAAACATAGTTCCACCAATTTTTGTACTATGTATTTATGGTGTTCTCAGCATTGACAATTAGAAACTCAAAGGTTCTAATCAGCTGAAAAACATACTCTATTCTGCAGTATCAACTATTCAGTCAATATTTATCTTTATGTAAACTCAGACACATCTATCTCATTAGTATATAGATTTGCTTTTACCTTTAATAAATGTAATATATATATATATATATATTACAGATTGCAGAGCTCTTTTAGGATAAGTTTGTTTATAATTTATTGTTAGCAAATGTTTAATTTGTGTACTTTATATATCTATATAGTCAGGGCTGAGTGGGCTGGTGGAATGGCTCAGTGGTTAGATCACTTGCTGTGCAAATAGGAGGACCAGAGGGCAGATCCCTGGAGCCCATGGTGCCATGCCTATAATTCCAAACTCAGAAAGAGGGACAGGGATCTCCAGGGGGGCACTCTGGCTAGTAAGACCAACCTGTATCTGCAAGCTTGGGGTTTCAGAGACCCTACCTCTAAGAGGAAGGTGGAAGAGAAACCAAGGAAGATCCCTGAAAGCAACACTGGGCCTCTACATGTATGTGCACATAATGTACATGCATACCCCTCCACATGTACACCCATACATGTGAATACACGTACATGCAAACACATCACACACATATACACATGGAAAGGAGAAAAGGGGGAACATCTGACCTAGTAAAAAGGGGTGACCAATGGAAAAACATTAGGAGGACTGGCCTACAAGCACTCCCTCACCGTTCCCTGGCATCAGGCCTGGTAAGAACGTCATCATTATAAACCTCTAGCCTTCTTCCACTTGAACTTAATGGTGACTATTAGACTACAAAACCTTGTGGTACGGTATCTGCCACCCTAACCATGGAAGCGTGACGTGCAAAGAAGGCATCTCTGGATGACAAGTGCTAAGTGCTTGCAAGTACTGTGAGCAATTCAGAACAGGCAAAGGGCGCTGGAAAGTCGGAGTGGATACTTGGAAGGGCCACTGACGTGTGGGAATGTTCTGCCGCCGGCCCTGAGACTGCTGGTGGGAAATGGAACCATGCCTTGTAGTCTCCGGCCCTTTCCACCCCCAACATGAGGAGAGCATCACACATGATCAGAAGGGAAAAGATGGCGAGCTAGGAGGCATTCGTAGTGGGCACAGTGACCCTTCCTGGCTTGTGAGAAGGAACACCAGGAAGAAATTAGTGGAAAGGGAAGGCTTGGAAGTCCAGTAACAAAATTACGCTCAAATGGAAAATGTCAAGGTCATTAGGGAAATTCCACATTTGGACTGTGAGGCGGAAATGCAAAACAGCTAGATAGAGATGAACTAATGGTCTACGTTAGGCAGCCATTAGGCTGCAAAACAACTTTTCTTCTAGAATAAATCCTGTAAATTACTTGACTGAATGGCCAAGGAGCTTCTCCAGTCTCTAGGAGCTATTTCTCAGCCCACACCCACATGGGGAGGGGAGGGGAATTCCGATTCTTGGTCTGGATGATGCAGAAGCAAAGCACACATCAAAGGGACCTGCTATCAGAGCCTGAGAACGGTCACACCTGCCATTCCATTCCTGCGATAAGAGCTCAGGAGATGCCAAAACCAGTCAGCTCCAGTGTGGCCCACTGAGGACTCTCGTCACAGGCACAGGGCCGTGGTCCTGGGGTTGGGAGGTAGGGAGAGAAGGGACGGAAGATTCCGAGTTAAACAAATGCTCATGGGTGAGTTAGCCATGGATTTCTTGAAACCGTCTGTGCAGCCTTCCTCTGATAAGGCAGACCACTGGATATGAACACTTGTCTTAGGAGGTTTACGTTACTGTGTTTACACCAAAGTGCCATAGCAGAAAGCACAGAGTAAGGTAATTTCCTCTTGGTTAAGTAGACACTGGTAGGGGTGGTGTGTGTCTCTCTTAGATCACAGTTCTGTAGATCCTCAGCTACTCTGGTTTGCTGTGTGTGTGTGTGTGTGTGTGTGTGTGTGTGAGAGAGAGAGAGAGAGAGAGAGAAAGAGAGAGAAAGAGAGAGAGAGAGAGAGAGAGAGAGAGAGAGAGAGAGAGAGAGAGAGAGAGAGAGAGAGAGAGAGAGAGAGAGAGAGAGAGAAGAGTATCAGTCTCATGCAGACTGGCCTCAAACTCTCTGTGTTGCTGAAGATAATCTCTAATGTCTCAAGCCCGTCTTCACCCCATTGCTGGGTTACAGGCATGAGTGTCCGTGCCTGATTTGTGTGCTGCCTTCCTGTATGCTAGGTAAGCACTCCGTGCACTAAGCTAGTTCCTTGGCTGCCTTTGACACAGCAGGATTCACTAGACTCCTGTTATCTGCAGCCTCCAACCCAGCCTCCTCCTCCTGTTTTGATGGTGTGCCTGAAGTACCTTCAATGTCCTCTGAACACTGCTCTTGCCAGAAAGCCGCCTTCCTTGTGGACAGTCTGGGCAGAGCCATGACTAGGGAAGACTTTCTATGACATGCCCTGAGGACCACCAAGGTGTTCTTCTTCCTCCAGGACCCACTTACCAGGCCTTCTTCTTCCTCTTGTGCTTGGACTCGATCATGCGAACAATGGCTTCCTCTTCGTAGGTGTGACCGCACACTTTATTTTTCACTGGCTTCTTCATTTCCAGCTACGATTAATGAGAGATTAGGCTTTCAGGTATACTAACCATCCACTTCCAAGTTGTGTCGCCCCCCCACCCTGCCCCAAATATTAGCTCTGTGATCAGGAAATGCAGGGCTCCAGGGGCCTCTGGGCTATGACTCTATTCCCAGGCCCTAGAGCATATGATTGAATGAAAGTGTTTTTTAGCCACAAACCTCCCAGGTATACAATTTGAGCTCATCACTTTTCTTTCTTTGCTTCCTCCCTCACAGTGAGATAGCAGAAGGTAAATGGGAACCCTTCTGGCCCTGTGAAACTAACCTAACTGCATTTTCTTTGAGGGGAAAGAGGAGGCATACCTGTGTTATGGGGCAGATGAGATTGGTCTGGCTCTGGGTCACAATCATATCTTCATCAATTCCTTCTGTGCAGCCATTCTCTCTGTCTGCATGCAGACCGTCTAGAGGAAGAAAGGGGGCTATGAGCTTGCTTGGCCCAGGAGCCTGCCAGGAAGAGACAGGAAGGGCAGGAAGTTCCTCAGGGCCTATCTGACCTCAGTCTCTGCACCAGGCACTTGGAAGACGTAAGTTAACCTTCTGCTTTTATTGGGATCCTAAAGGGTCCCCAATTCTGTCGCTTTAGATAAGGAACCCAAGACCCAGAGCTGTAAAATAAGACTTTATAAAGTTCAGAGAATTAATCTGTAAGGGCAAACTGCTTAGAAACAAAGGTTGTGGTTGCCAGAGTCGGGGGACCTGGTCTCTTCAGGGTCCAGTTACAGGCTTTGGGCTAGCAAGGTGTATTTAAAAGTCTGCTTCAAAGCTTTGGTGCCAAGACAAATGGAGAAAACAAACAAACAAAAAAAAACAACATGTCTCCTGGTTCAGAGAAACAGTCAGCAGACAGGACCTACTGCCATACAGTGCAGAAACAGTCAAACTTTGGAAAGTATAATTTGAACTCCTTTGAGGTCTTAGATGTTGCTGAGGACTCCAAGGAACTTTTTCAAAATATGGGCTGTATTTATCAATATTTAATGTAGTAGCTATTAAGACTAAAGAATTAAAAAATACATTTATTGCTTCACTTAAAAGTAATAGCAACAATCCCATCCCATTATGTGTCAATAAAAATAACTTTTTTTTTTTTTTAAGCTTGTTTTCCCCCTCTGAGACAGGGCTTCTCTGTGAAACAGTCCTGAGTGTCCTGGGATTCTCTCTGTAGGCCAGGGTGGCCTTTGCTCCCGAGGGCTGAGACGTGCACTTAAAAGCGTGTGCTACCACGCCTGGCTCATATAAATAACATTTTAAAAGTTAAAAGTAATTATGTTTCCCAGAACAAACCAAAGTGCACTGTTTTCTGGTTTTGTAAATATCTTAGATGTTTGGCTTCAAAGAAGAAGACAGGAGGAGGAGCTTCTAGAAGGCAGATTCCAGTATCTGTCTGGCATGCAGACCCTCACAATGCCAGTGTCTCACAGAGCATTTATGAAGGAATGAGTGGCGAGGCTAATGACGTCACAGCGCCATTGTGAAGACAGCTGACCTGGAGGCCACCCTGAAGCGCTGGCCTGCACTGGTGACTGCTGCGCATGACTGTGAGGCTGCTAACGCAGAGCCATCTGCCTCCAAAATTTCCTTCTCCTGCAGCCCGCTTGCCCTTTACGAGGAAAACACGGGACGGGGCGACTTCTGAGTGAGACAGGATAGGTGAACTCCTTTCTGAGGAAAGGCTGCAGGCTGATGCTCTCTAAACCTCAAAGTCTGAGATCTGCAAGACCCCCAGACGTACAACATTTTGTGGACTGATATGACACCAGTCTTGGACAGTGCCACTGTGAAACTTTGCTTCATAGATATAATCATTTAAAATACTGTACAAAATCAGAGTCAGTTTTAGCTTGAGTGGTTTCTTTCTGGTGAGGACTTCCATCTAATACATTGCATAGAATTGCTTCCAAGCTATGTGTAAAAACTGTATAAGGAATTTAAGTAAATTTTCTATGTGTAATGAATCCTATCCTCAAGATACCTTATTATGCCAAACCTGGCACACTCTGGTCCTGAGCATTCAGGGTAAGGGCTATTTAACCTGTGCTTGTCAACTGTCTGTCGATGGCCTATTCCTTCCTCCATTTTGGTAGACTACAGATCTAAAACCACGTTCCTGTCAAGGTGTGGGAGCAAAACCCTCGACTCTGGGTCAGATGGTTTTTGTAAACCTTTCCATTATGGAATTACTTTGGGCCTCTCCTCAGGCTGGGTGAAGTGTTTGTTTGTCTGTCTGTCTAGAAAGATACTACTGAGGCAGGACAAGGACTTGAAGTTTTTGTTCAAGGCCATCTAGTGGGTGAACCGTTGGAGGTTGGAGGGTCTACCCTGAGTGCTCTGTAGAGGGTCCCCTTTCTCTGTTTGTGTGGGAGCGTCAACTCCTAAACCAGCGCTTACTCTTTGAAAAGGTGAGAATGAGGATGCTGGACTCGCAAGCAGAACATTTGAAACTGCACAGCATCAGGGTGCAGTGCCTGGAACCTGACACCTTTTCAAGGATGAGACCTTGGAAACCACTTACTGCTAGGCATCTCAAAATCTGAAATCGTTTTGAGTGTATACAAGGCCTCCAAATTTCTGACTTTGGAACATTTAAGATTTCAGCTCTCTGGATTATGAATGCTCAACTAATCTTGTCTATCCAAGCATACCCAAGTCCAAAACTGGGGCACTATGGTCTTAAGTATTCCTCAGAAGTTTTTAGTCCATTATTCTAAACAAGCTAACTGCCAACTTAAAATCAATTCATGGCCTACAAATGTATTTATTATTTGTTTATACTAACTAATTGCTTATTTAGTAATTAATAATGCTTCATTTGGAATCAATATAAAGGCCAGATCTAGTATTTAACTTGATAAAGATTCCCAAGTATGCAAAGTTAATTGCTGAGAAACTAATGGCCAGTGACAAATCAGTTAGCTAATCCATTTCCAAAGCAAAATCGAAAAAACAGTTTAAAAAAACCTGTCAGCAATAAAATGGCGTTGAATATGGAAGGTGCTACATTTTGGTATGTTTGCTGTGAAATGAGGTGTGATATAATTGCATCTGTATGTTTACTGTGATATGAGGTGGGGCTTCTGCAAATAGTGCTCATACCTATGAAGGCTGCATGCTTCCTGAGCCCTGGGCTTGGCATTCACAGGAGGGGAGTCAGACTCCTTAAAGGGTCCTTTATCAACTCAGGAAACTGGGCAGGTAGTGTAAAAAAGGCAAGAGGCAGGCTGGGGAGTCATGATGCCCCTGGAATTCACTTTCCAAAGCTGTCTCCAGTGGGCTGTTGCCTCCTAGTCCTGATGTTTATTTCTGATAGTCGAAATAAAAGGAGCTCCTTGTGACTTTCTTGCTGAGTTTATTCTGAGCGGATGGCAGATTTCTGACTATAAATGTTACAGCGTGGAATTCACCGGAAAATCTGTTAGCTGTACAGCAGAGTTCAGCCTGTGTGAAAGACTGTGGGCTTGTTGGTTATTTTCTATTTTTAAATTTCAAAAGGTAGAGGAAGCAAGAAAGCACAACCCAAATGCAATGCCAACCGCTAGGGAGGGCTGAGTGGGGAACTAAGCGATGGTAGAGATCACGAAAAGGGAGGTAACAAAAGAGAGAAGGGGTGAATGCCAACAGTGAGTAATAGCCCACAGACCGAGAGTCTAAAAGGGGAAAGATTGCAATAGCGACACTTCTCCAAAGAGCATTTCCTCACCCTACACCTGTATTTATAGAAAATGACATTAATGCTGGGATTTTACAAGGTGCTCACAAAAGGTTGCATCTGGCAATAAATATATCACTTACGGTGGTTTAGCTGATCCAGAGTACAGAACTGCATGGTGTATGTGGTCAAGGCCAGGCCAGGGGAAAGATATAGATCTGCCGGAACCACAGATATTTTAAAAGTGGGACTAGCTGCTGTCTGAAGTCTCTTTATTCGAGAACACCAAGAGTCAAACAAAAGTACAGATTCTGTTTAAAACTGGGCAGGACGCTCACAGGGTGCCTGCCTCCCCACGTTCTAGAGCTGGACCACCTGAATGCTGCAAACATGTGCTGGTTCTAGAACGCTCCATCACCAAGGGGTCTCATTAGGACTACTAATAGCTCGCTTGCTGACTACTACTTCAGTAACTTGATATTATTTCTCCCAATACTTGTATAAAACCTGTGAAGGACTGTATTGTTATTTCTATTGTATAGATAAGGTTTTAAGCCCCATGACATTTCTAAGGCAACTGTAAAAGCTAGTCATGTAATAAAGAAGCAATTGGATTAAGTCAATATAATCTTTATTAAGGAATCACAAAGTGTTCCTGACTATGCATAGGTAAGCAATCAAATGTGATGTCTTACTTTCTATACTGAGCTTTCCACACGCCTGGGTTCTAAATACATGCATTAAATCAGGCATAGGTGAAAACGAACTGAAAAACATCTCTGTCTGCACTGAACATGCACAGGCCTTTTACTCTTGCTGTATCTCTTCTTTACAGAGCACTCACACCAAATTGGGTACGGTGAGTGACCTGGAGATGACTTAGGACTACAAGAGGCTGTGTGTTCTGGGCAAACGCTCTGCCATTGTGTCTAAGGGACTTGAATGTCTCAGAGATAACCCCTCATGGCTACTGAGAGATGGCTGGACAGGCATATCTAAGCAATATTGTTAGGTAAATATGCGAGCCGTTAACTTCTAACCAATGGGTAGGTATCAGAACTCCTATGCTGCATCTAGATGCCTGGGCTCAGGGACCAAGCACCATGCTGAGGAGGAAAGCCTGCATAGAAACTAAGATTACAGTGGATGGATGCAGCAAGGTAGGCGTTAGGTAATCACATGATTGATTGATAGATGTTTCTCCCCATCCCCACCTCTACGACAGGATCTTATATAGTAGAGGATGGTCTCACATTTATTATGCATGTGATGACTTTGGACTACTGATTTCTTGCCTGTCTCTATCTCCTGAGTGATGGGATTACAGTTGTGTACCACCATGCCTAGTTTATGTGGTACTGGATTTTGTGTAAGGAAGCAAGCTAGATCCCAAAGTCCTGAACTTTATATATTTATTATTTATTGTATATGTGTGAGAATATGCCATGTGTGTGGGGGCCCTCAGAGGCTAGAAGGGATTAGATTCCCTGGAGCTGGAGTTACAGGTAGTTATAAATCCCCTGATAGGGGTATAGGGTCCCAAACTCAGATCCTCTGGAAGAGTAAGAATCAATGAGCCATCTTAATCAATAAACTATCTTCCCAGTGCCTGAATAAATATATAACCTCCTTTCTTTCTTGATGCCATGAAATGAAATACCAAAGAAAGTAGAAACAATGCAAGTGATGGATGCGGTCTTTCCAAAGTTTCCCATGTCCTAGTGACACACGCAGTTGGAGTGTGGCAGGGTGGGC